TAGACAGGAATGAAGTGTTTGATAAAGCGTGTTTACCACTTCATTCACTTATTTGAGAAGTTGAATCAGCCAACGTTAGAAGGTTGATAGCTGACGAAATTGCAGTACAGATACAGAAGGCTGGTTTGGCATATGTCAACTTACACCATCTCTAGCGTGGACGTGATGACCAGGTGGTTGTCGGTCAAAGGACGTGTTTACTGCTCAACAGTCCGCTCCATCCTGATCCTATATGGCTGTGAGAAATGGTGGCCATTTTAAATGGAAAACATGAAAATCCTGGCTAGCTGTATTTGATCCTAGGTGTCTGCGTTCTATCTATCTCCATTTTTAGGTGGTGTAGCATAATAGGGTGAGTAATGCTGAGTTGGTTAGGTATCCGTCGAGTGCTGCTGTATAAGGGTGGGGGAGAAACCAGTCGATGAGATTATGAAGTTACACTGATTGACATGGTGAGAACATGTGTTATACATGCATCCCTAGCCAGCCATTGCCTACCTCCACTAACAGGCAATTTTAGCTGACATAGGATGGATCAGGTTGGAAAAGAGCTGGTGGTGTGAAACCAAAACATGGCTTCATCAATCAATGAAATCAACAACAGTTAGTTTAAGCTAGCCAGCCATATGGGGGAGGTGCAGACTGTATTACTGGTTGTCTTCCTTGGGATGGTAAAAAGCAAGGGGTGGAGACAATTGGTGATATGACTCAAAATCCTCGTTGTCACTGGCTAGCGAGATGGATTCACTCTTTTAGATTTATAAAATCCAATAAAACTATTGTTCCTATAGTATATTACTACTATTTTTCCCCACTCACACTTGCGTTTATTATCTCTCTTTTGATGATCTTCTCTTGCTCAGTGTGTTACATGGCAACTGGAACTGCTACACATCTCTACAAAGTTCTAAGTTTAATTCGGTCAGTCATTCACTTGTTTGTAAAGTTCTATCTACAAACTCACTTTGTCAGTCAGTGATTTTGTTTTGATTCACCTCAAAAAATTTATTTACTTCAGGATTTCATCATGAGCTGACATTAGTTAGAGAACCATTGGAAAACCTGGGAGTACTGGACAGCTGTTTCGTCAGCCTAGTTTGGGACTCTTCAGCAGTACGCACCCACCGGGATTCGAACCCAGGACCTTCCGGTTACAAGGCTCACTGGCGACTGGCCCTATTCAGGTAGGTAGTTACCTGGGTTCCAGTGGGAAGTCGTGACCAGTAGGGTGTAGCTGGTCGGGTGTGAGGACAAATACTCGCCGAAGACATTGGCTAGCGGTCGCGCTATGTCGTGAATTGGCAGAAGATAAAATTCATGTGCTGGCCATTGGATCGGGTCTCAGTGGCTTAATGGTCTACGAGCTCGCTAGCCTTGTAACCATAAGGTCCCTGTTTCGAACCTCCTGTTGGTGGGTGCGTACTGCTGAAGAGTCCCAAACTAGGCTGACGAAACAGCTGTCCAGTACTCCCAGGTTTTCCAATGGTTCTCTAACTAATGTCAGCTCATGATGAAATCCTGAAATCAATCAAATCCCTACAAACCAACACTTCAATTTATTTACATTTCATTTTGTATTATTCTATAACTTTTCACATGTATCTTCATATCTTTAATCATATTGACTACTCTTCACATACAACCTCTCTGTCTCGTAAATTGATGAATGAATTATGTCATCTTAGTATTCATTACATGAGAAAAACCAACCAACCAAACAAACGAAACAAATATATGCCTGCTGATGACTGTCATTCATTCTCTGTAAACGTGAGAAAATTCTAATAATTGGACAATTGGTACTATGCTTAGAGATGATTGGAAACAAATTATTAAAAAAAAAAAAACATGCTTTGCACAATCTACACTGAGGAATGGATTAGATTTTATTCCATTTCTATTCGTTACATTACACGCCTAACACCTAAAAAATATCAGTTACCATAGTGTTGTTGATTTCCGCCGTAGAAGGTAGGGGATGGGTGAGAGCTAGTTGCTAGTCTGATGCGGTCTGACCTTCTCACTTTCTTCCAAGCTTATCGTCGGTTAGTAAACTAAGAGAAGGTACAAGTGTGCATCTATCAGCTGGGATATGAACCCAGATCAGAGGTTGACTCGAGTACAACTGCAACGACAGAAGACAAGGGTCAAGCCAGTCAGATCATTTCTTGAGAAAATCAACAGATATTTATAGATTTTTATGTACATTATTATTAGCGTTATTGTTAGCAGGGAAGCAACCTCTTCTGATTGTTTGTTTCCTTGCTGAAAGTTATTCTATCATCTCTTTGTTAGCGTTTCTTAAACAGTCTGGTGATATATCTGCCAGTCGTATCCGCCCACGCTAAGTCTGCTGTGATTGGTTGTTGAGTTCCTCAAGGTTAAGGGGCTTTGTTCTTGTTTTTTCTCATGACCAAGATTTGGGACGTTAACACTGACGTAAATTGCTGTCTACTAATTTTGACTAGCAGACAGCTCTCATCACACTCGTCCGTCCCCCCGCCCCTCGTCAAACTTTCAACTGAAGTTGGTTCGGCCTTCTTGGTTATGGTGGCTTTGTTCGTTTGTCTTGCTGTCTGGAATTCTGGCGCTTGGCTGACATTCACCCGTTTCTGTTTGTTGACAACATTCGCGATTGTATGAGAATGTGACCCCTGTCTCACAGTGACCATGTATGGTGGGTCCTTCTCACTTTGAAAGCTGTTTGCCTGACCCTGGCGCAAATTCACCGGTGTTTCGCCTCACACTTTCACATGCTGCTCAATTACTGTCAACGTTGCTGCAGAAAAAGTTACTCTCTTAAAGAAGTCCAAATTCTCCTTCTAAGGACATCATTGAATAGGTCACCTCCTATCCTTCTTAATGAAAAAATAATTGTATATAAATGGTATTTTATACAATGCTAGACAAAAATGAATTCACCGAGAAAAAGCCTCTTAGCTGATCACATAATGTAATCTGTTTATTATCACAAATGGTAATCAAGAAACCAATATTACTATATACTACTGATTAATTGAGGTCAGTAGCTTTATACTTGATATATGATATAACCAGTTTGAAAAGGCAATTGTCTATTCACATGATGTAGAGCACTAACCAAAGTGATGGAAAACTCCTGAAGCCAAAGTGCCTAAAACTTCAATGTGAGAAAACTGTCTGGCTGACTGACTGACTGGTTTCAATATAGAACTTTACAGCGATGTGAAGCACTTCGAGTCGCCACACTCCCTCTATGTAGCACACAAAGCAAGAGAAGAAACTAAAAAGAGATTCAAAACAGAGACAGTAAACGGAGATATGAGGCGAAAAGAATAGTAATATGGAAGAACAAAATAGTTTTCTTAGGTATTATAAGTCACAAGGATTGAATGCATCTGCGCTACCCATCGCTGAGTACGATTTTGAGCCATATCACCGATAATTGTCACCAGCCTTCATTGATTCCTACCATCCTGAAGACCCGAGCCAGTTAGGAAGTCTACACCTCCTTACCTCACTGGCTGGTTTAAACTAACTGTTGTGGATTTTATTGGCTGATGAAACCATGTTTTCGTTTGACCGCTACCTAATTCCATACCAACCTGATTCATCCTGTGTCAGTCAGCTAATACTTCCTGTCGTTGAGAAAGGCGATTACTGGCTAGGCATGCGTAATACATGTTCTAATCAACTCTCAATCGGTGTAACTTGACAAACTCGACTATTGATTTTCCCTCCTTACCCAGTATCAGTTAACGCCTCATCAACTCAATATTGCTCACCGTATTATACCACCTAACATAGGTTGTAGATGCAACGCAGACACCTATGGTCAAAGACAGCTAGCCAGGCTTTTCATGTCTTCCACCTCCAATGGCCATGTGTCACTCATGGATATAAAGGGGGATGGAGAGGACTACTGAGCAGTACATACGTCCTTTGGTTGACAACCAGGTGGATATCACATATGCGATCTTGGCTTCCCGATTCTCAATTTGACATTCTCCTCCGTTCCTCCTGTAGTTGAGACAATGCTCTCTAGATAAGTGAATGAAGTAACCTCTTTCAAATCCCTCTCGCTGATGGTGATTGGCAGTGGATGTTGCTGCTGTTGTTTTTGGTGGTGGTTGGTTATTTTCATCACCTCCGTCTTGTTTATGTTCACTCGGAGTCCTATCTTCACCGACTCGTTCTTCAACTAATTTGTCCGTTTTCGCTTGTAAGTCTTCGATTTTGTGTGACATCAAACATATGCTCAATATATGTATAATATTAATACTGTGTGGATCGGTGGTTCACGTGTCCCGCAGTTTCCTCTCCCTTCAGCCCACTTCTAGACCTCATCTGGCTTGTAATAGGTCCGGAGAAGAGGGAATATGGGGCTAGCCTCCCTCCTACATAAAAACATAAACACCACAGCTTACCTACTGAAACCTCAAAGCTTGAGCTTGAAAACCTCTGTTCCACCAGGAGCGCTAAGGATTAAAATAAATAATACCTAGCTTTATTATCATTATTATTGTTCCCTTGGGTTCTGAGTGGTACATAACGCTTCAGCAAATACCCATAATCTCTGATCTTCTCCATATCACCCTCAAACGGCTCACTCCCGTCTCAGGTTCCACTCAAGCGACGGCCTGATGCCCGACTTCATTCGATGGTCTCTTTTCAGCGTGTATGTGATTCATCTCCGTTTTTTTTCGATGAATGCGTCGAACAATGGGTTCTTGGTTAATTCAGTGAACTGCTAGTATTCCTTGTTACTAATATTTTTGACTGCCGCCTGATCTATAGTGTGAAGTGAAGGCTCCATTAAATATTATTATTATTATTACTGTGATGGGTGGTGGTTTGGAAGGTGAAATGAGAATCTAGTCTGTAGAAGATTTTGAACCAGTGGTTTTTTGTCTACTAAATGTTAGTGATTGTATTTTTTTAAAACATAAAAATCGTTTTTCTAATGCTCATATTTTTTTTCTTTCCCTTTTCCTCTTCTTCCTCTTTTTCTTTTTCCTCAGCATTGTTACTCACTCTTCGTCGAGTATTAACTAATCCAGTATGGTTAGGTGTAACAGTGAGTACTGTTGTTGAACAATCGATTGTTGCTGCATTTTTAACATTTGCTGCAAAATATATTCAAATTTTATTTCATGTACCAGCTTATTTGGCTAGTATTCATACAGGTAAGTATTCAACATGTTTCTGTATGTATGTATGTGTGTGTGTGTGTGCGTTTCTGTGTGATTACTTCATTTATAGCATTATTGTTACTCCTTTGGGTTCCGAATGGATGTCGCTATTTCACTGGGATCTCTGCAGTCATTTCCAGATTACTCCATGATTTCCGATAAGCACTGTCCTATAGATCACTTTCCGGGTGGATGATGTCCAACTCATCGATTCCTATTCAGGTTCCACTTGACGGTCTGCTTGGTGTCTGATATCATTCAACGGTCTCCTCAATGTGTGTTTAATTCATTCTCTATTTTGCTTTGGCATATACGTTGAACTTCCAGAGGTGGTGTCCCCTGTTGTTAGTCTTTTCTGGTCGGCTGTCTCATCTTCAGTATGGAGCGAAGACTCCAATATTTTTTTATTCCTTTACGTTCCCAGTGGGACGCAGGGCACCTTCAAGCTAGAGGTCTGAAGTTTTAGTAGCATTGGTATTTATTTTTACGGGATGGGTTTGCTAGCCAGCCTCATTCCCAACCTTACCTCTTTGCCAGTCTTATTACTGGTTTAGCGAGGTCTAAGAGTGCGTCCCTTGGCCGTGACGGAACCCCTGGATCACATGAAGCGTAGTTGGCGATCATTCTACCTTTGTGCCACTATCACAGTAATCTTAGTTATAATGATAGTAAAGATTCCATTTCTATTATTATAACTAACATTATTGTGATGGTGGCACAGTGGTTAGGATTCTAGCCGACCATGCACATGGTCCAGGGTTCGAGCCCTCGCCGACGCACACCTGATATCTATGGTCGGCCTGCGAATTTTGGGCTACCGATATCCACGCTGAAAATTCCATACTTGTACTGAGAATACGGTGTGGAATCAGGCTGTAATAAAAAAAAAATTAAAATTAATGAAGGTGAGATGTGAATTTGGTTTGCAGAAGGGTTTGAACCAGTGGCTTTTGGACTGCTAGTCTAACACTCTACCAGCTGAGAAGTGGAACCCAACTGCCAACACTAGGCAGATCATCATATCGCTGTAATCCCCACAAAGCGTAATGCATAACTGTCATGTTATAGAATGGTAATCAACGTTTTCACCTCAAAATTAATCGACTTTGTGAAAAAGCCTTCGACAGCATTGATCATGAAGTAATTTGAAAAAAACTGCCTCAGCAAAAACAGAGTCCTTTATCAACTTCATTCAACAACTGGCTGTATGATAATGCCGTATATCAAAACGATTCATAGTCGAAAACTCAGCAAAGCCTTCGCAGTGAAGACACAGTCCTCGACGATGATATTCCTGACTAGTGGTGATAGTTTGGATCATTATTCAATAGACTAGACCAAGGGAAGGGTGAGAACCGACAATATTAGACTCTCTCTCGTATATCTGTACTTCGTGGACGATTTTCATGTCTAATATGTTTCACAAAGTTGCAAACTTACAGGCAAAAACAGGACGGAAGAGAAGACGGAGGTAATGTAGATACCTGACGACTCACAACCACCACCACCAACAACAACAAAAAAATCACTAACCATAAGGAATGAGTGACATCGCTTGCCACACAGACCCTCAAGTGGAACCCGGATGCGGAAAACGACGAGTTGAGCGTTGGATGGCAACAGACATAGATAGACAAGGTGCCGAAAGTGTATGCCACTTAAAAAGGAGACTGCAGAGAACAGGATGCAATAGAGAGATGTCCTGTTGAAGACCTCCACTGCTTCACTCGAAATCCAAGGGAATAATAATAATAATAATAATGGTAATAAGGACAAATAGATTTCAGGTATTGTTATTATTATTATTATTATTGTCACTGGTGTCCTTACCTTACCATCTTACCCTTTCAGTAAGCTGATTTAATTATATGCCTAGAAGTAAGTTCCTTTATTACTTGTTTTGCTTAACTATAACCCCATTACTCTGTTGTGCCTAATTCTCTGTGCGTTCAGATTATCTCTCTCATTTGTGTGACAGTGTTACTATTACTTCTTCCTATGGTTGGCTCTGTCTATGCTATGCTGTGCTTATCATCAATAACACTATGCTTTTAATTTTCAAATACACAAATAGTATATTATTTGCAGGTTGATCACAAGTTGGTTGGCGTTAGCTAGTGAACCCAGTGAGTAATGGATAGTTGTTTAGTCCCTTTTGGGACTTCATCAGTATATATATACACACATACACTCATAACCCTAATATAGACACCGAAACCAAAATCTCCAGGTTACAAGACGAGTTCACCTGTTACCATTCAGATATAGAGGCGGATTTCAATGACCCATGAGTCCTAACTTCCGCCAGACAATGTCGTTGGTGACCAAACTGATGGACCCCACTGAGTACAACTTCTTACTAGACACTCTAGAAAATTCTGTCCTTTAGTAAGGGCTAATAACTCAATGAGCTAGCTAGCTAGCTAGCTTTGTAGCGGTTGAGGATCATTGGTTTGTGTTAGTGAATAGTTCCAAACTTCAAAAGAGCAGCCAGCTGGTTTTCAGTGGTTTGCATTCGTAATCATCTTGGTTTACTGAGAATGGAGACAAGTGTAACTCGGTTCGACAAAATTCTTCTAGTTCCTTCTGCTGACGTATTTTTGGAATCATCAATAACGATGCATATACTTATCATTATTCTATTATTGTTTCCCTTAATTCCTAAACAAACATAGGGCCTCAGCTGCACATCTCCATTGCATTCGGTTCTCCGTCAACCTTTTCACTTGGCTCCATGTCTGGGCTCTATATGCTTTCACCTCCTCTTTACATTACTTCCATGCACTGGCGACCAAATGACTCGCCACCTCCCATCCGGGTTCCACTCGAGTGATAGTGTGGCGTGTGATTTCACTCACTTGATGATGGTTTGTTTTCTCGGAGAGTACCGCCGCCAATCTAATTCTCTCCATTTCTTCCTGCATATTTATTGCACAATTAATTCCTGTTCGGTTGGTTCGTTCATTGCTAGACATCCCTGTTTTTCATCTTTTCTAGCCGACCATCTGATTTTGAGTAGTATTGAGCGAAGACAGCTAGCTGTTGATGAAAGTATGTAGTTCGAAGTTTTTCGAGGTGCCTTTCGTGGCGCACCGCGGTGTCAAGTCTCTGATCCGTATAGTAGCACTGATTTGGCATTGAAGTTGATAATGCGGATCTTATTTTTCATACTGAGAAGTGCTGTTGACCTCAGTTCCGTCCGCCTTTAGATAAAACGATGCTTCCCAATTAGGTAGATAGGTAAAGGAGGTGGTTTCTTTCTGATTTCTCCCATATATGTTGGATTTTTGGATATTACAGATCACGAAGAGTGAATGCATCTACGCCACCCATTGACAATGAGGATTTTCAGACATATCACCTATACTTATCTCCAGCCGTTACCAGGTTCTTAGAATCCCGAAGACCTTGACCAGCCACGCAGTCTACACCTCCCTACGTGGCTGACTGGCTGGTTTAAACTAACAGTTATGAATTCCATTGACTGATGAAGCCGTGTTTTGGTTTCTTCATAAACCACTAGCTCTTTTCCATCCTGTCGTATCCTGTGACAGCTTACATTTCCTGTCGTCGAGGGAGTCGTTGGCTGGCTAGGCATACATAACAAATCACCTTACCCCTTCAATCGATGTAGAGCTTCACAGCATGGTTGGAACCTATGGCTCACTCTTTGAATCTCGATCGCTAACACTAATGAATGGATCACAATCTGCAACTGCCGCCTTATTGGTTGAAAAGTCGAGTGTTGCTTAAGCCAATAAGCAGTTATATCTCTACGAAATTACTACAGTCTTTCCTTAACTTCCTTTTTTCTGTTTATTCGTTTCATTGTTATTACCAAAGTACACAAGTGAACTTCAAAGGTACTTTTCTGTGTGTGAGTGTGCGTGTGTTTAGTGCTAATTGACAATTTCAATCAATCAATTATTCTAGTGTGATTAACGATTAAAGGTGAATAAATTACTCAACCATATGGTATGATGGTTCACATTACCTTTGATCACTCACTCATTCACTATTCACTCGGTCTTCTTTGTCGATGCGCTCGTCAGCACCATCCTCATTTATTGTTTTCAAGTTATGCTCAGTTGTGTTCTCTCTTTAATTAGTCATTCGCTTTACTTGAATTCACTTTACTTTTTCCCCTGCTCTGTTTGCTACCTCCTAAGAATATTTTAATCGTACGTAGATGTCCAACAATATACCAATAATATACCTCGGAGAGAACAGAAGTTCTCAAGGCAATCAAGATGTTAAAAGCTGGAAAAGCAGCAGGACCAGATGGAATCCCAGCAGAAGCATTGATAATGGACCCAGAGACAACAGCGGACTTGATGATACCACTACTGGAGAAGGTGTGGAAAGAGGGCAAGGTACCCGAGGATTGAAAGAAAGGATACTTATTCAAACTTAGCCAAACTGCCAAAAACAAGATCCGGATTTTCAACTCCAATGTGAATTCAGTCAGTGCTACTTACTATACGGATCAGAGACTTGGTGCGTCATAAAGAGCATCTCAAACAAACTACAGACCTTCATCAACAGGTGTCTTCGCTCAATACCACTCAAGATCAGATGGCCGGCCGAAAAAGATCAGCAACAGGGATCTCTGGCAATGAGCGAACCAACTGAACAGAAACCGATTGTGCAATAAATAAGCAGGAAGAAATGGAGGTAGGTGGATAGGCCATACTCTGAGGAAACCATCAAGTGACTTCACTAGACAAGCCATTGCTCGAGTGGAACCCGGCTGAATGGGAAGCGGCGAGTTGGTCGTCAGTGCAAGGGTGACTTGGAGGAGGTCATATGAAGGGGAGATGAAAGCATATGGGCAGACTTGGAGCCAGGTGAAAACCTAAGCAAAGAACGGAACTCAATGGAGACGTGCAGCTGAAGCCTTATGTTTCTCTAGGAATTAAAGGAAATAATAATAAGATGAATTTTAAAGTTGCTTTGTGTGTGAGTGTGTGTGTGTGTATAGAGTTCTTTTGGTC